AAAAAAAAAAAAAAAAAAAAAAAAAAAAAAAAAGACTTGATTAAGCAGAAACGTGAGTAAAAAGTTCCACCAGTAATTACACGAAATCCAACATCATTATAGGAATTTCACCGTCAATTAATAAAGAAACAAAATGCTTGATTCCAATTTTTTCCCGACTGAAAAATAAAAAGCAACGAGTCATGTTATGAAATAAAAAAGTAAATAGGTAGAAAATGGAATAAAAAACTACTGGTACTTTGGTCAATAAAAGGCAAAAACTGCATTTACATCAAGAACTTTGCGGTGCTTTTGGAACTACAACAGTCAGTGTAATACAGAAAAAAATAACAAAAATGACATTTACAACATCGAGTAAATTTTACTATCTCATTTAACTGTCGACAGTATCCTCAAATTCTGTGTAAACTTCGTCACAGAAAAATATGCTTTCGCAACTGGCATCCCCACTTGCACTAGAAGTTAACTGGAAAGACTGCTTGCTGTTTTTCGTAAATCCGTTACACACTTCTTCAACCACATCCCTCACAGAAGATTTTGGTTCACCATCCACCCTTACATATGAGTGCTCTTGTGAACAATTTCCCGCCATAGAGCAGGTTGTAATATGAACTTTATCAGTAACAACTGCAGTACCTGATGGATTAGTTCTTTTAACTGTTTTCACCTTCACTTTCTTCGATTCCACTGCTTCTTGCTTGCAAGCAGGAAGAACTGAACCGACCTTATTGAGAGCAGAAATCTTGGTGTTTTGAATAAATTCTTTTTGATAACGGGCTAAGCTTGGCTCACTCACTCCAGTTATTGCAGACACAATTTGAAGAGAAGTCATACAATGGAAGTTAGGAGGCAGGTTGTGTCTCCAAATATTAAAATATCGAGTCATGTTCGCCAAAAGCTGCTTGGTTTTCGCACAAAATACCGTTCCACAAACGAATGGACTAGCCGGACAAAATTTGATCACGACAACGGCAGGAACAATGGAAACCACAGTGGTTCGGGTGAAGTATAGAGGCCTGGTTTTAGACATTCGATTTTTTTGGCAACGTCCACAACACGTGAAGAGAGGCCGGGTAGGTTTCTGTGATAAAGCTGAGGACCCAATTTGGAAATAATATAAATGGATTAATGGAAACCAGAAAGGAAAGCTCCCAGATGTTATAATTTTAGACAATGATATTTTTCAATATAATAGGCTTACCGCGGGTTTTACAGTTATGAGGTGACTTCTGTTGTCGGTATACCTGTGAATCCTTTCTTCGCGACTATTACTCTCAAAATCTTAAAGAAAAAGCAAAAACTTAGTCACAATAAAAAAGCATGAGTCAGGTAGCAAATTATCGCAAAGACAAACAAAAAGACAAAAGCCCTTAGCATTCAGAAAAAAAAAAAAAAACATACTACTGTTTTTAAGAGCACTCATGTTGAAATCAAATGGGAGAACCCTAGGATTCACCAAAGCACGCAATTGTGGACTTTCAGTTGGTTCGCTAGCACTGCGAATCAGGTCATCTACTAAAGCAAAAAGATTCGGCTGATCTCTTTCTTCCGTAGCACAAGCTGACAAAACTGCTCGAAGTTTTGATAATAACTGCAAAAATCTGATGCACTATACATTTAAAACAAAATTCGAAAGAAGACACATAATTAAAATTGCTATATTTAGTTGCTTTGGGTCTCAACGCACTTTATATAAAACAATATACTAATCTAAAGTTCATGTCATGCACAAAAAACTGCACACTGTGTATTCAATTCCTACTCGTAAAATAAGTCTAACGCTTACAAAAGAATGCGCAGAAACAAAAAGCCAATTGTTCTTGATGATAACTTACACGTTCATCACTCAAGGCGAATGCTGACTTCAGTCTTTCCATAACATGATCTATATCATGACCCTAAAAAAACCGTCAGTAGTAGAAGAGTGAGTTTCTTCCCGAATGGACTACAAATAAACAGGAATAATAGGATTTAAAAAAACTCAACCTCAGCGAAGCACAGCAAATTTTTTAAGATTTAAATTGATACAACCTTAGCAGAGACAAAAAAATTTGGAAAATTTATGCAAGCTGCACTTGAAAACTCTTACTATCAACATGAATTTCATAAACCCATGAAAAGCGAGTGCTTTTCCAAAACATTCCAAGTCCAATTCGATTTTTTTATAATGTAAATGTAACTGTAATACCAAGCACCGGAAACTTGTACAAAGAATTCCTATCAAAAAAACATCTATTTATAAACAAAGTAAAAAACTAAATTCTTTTCGTCGTTTTGGCATGTCAAAATTGTTCTGTCTAATGACATTGCATCTCTGTTGTTTTACAGCATTCTCCACGCCTTCCGCCAACTTTTCATTCTGCTTTTCTCGTGGAATAAATTTATTTTCCTTCTGTAGTCTCATATCTCGTAAAGATACCTGGAAGATAGGAAATTATACTTCTTGACCAACTTGTTGAAGACGTGAACTGTGAATAAGCAAAAAATTAGGCTTTAAAGTTCGGAAAGTGTACTGCAGTGCTGTTTCTTCCTAAACTTGAATAATGCCATAGTTCAGACCGCATCTGTGTAGGCTGACCTCTACGGAGACTTTCTGGGCTTTTTCATGCCGGCTTATTCCAGCTTTTCAAAACGTCAATGAAAGTGAAGACAAACAAACAAAATACAAAATGAAATGCATTTTATCAGATACCGTCGATGGTTTTTTTGAAGCCTCTTTCGACTTCCCCGGCTCATGCGACACCACCTCTCCTCTTTCCAACTTCAAGCGTTTTCGCTCCTCACAAATCTTTTTCAAAGAAGCCCTACGTTTTGCAACACCTGACGTCCTTCTTCCCATTGCTAAAACAAAAACAGGGAATAATAAAATGCAGTCCCATTAACAGCCCAAAAAACGACGATTATTAGAACTCTTCATCGTTACCTCTACACTAAACAACCTCAAAAATTATATGCTACAACCAACGTCTGAAAAAGAAGTACAAAACTTCAACCGAAATGACAATGAGTTAGTAAGTATAACTACCAAAGTCCCTCCTATGTTCCCATTAAAAAAGCACAGCGATGGAAACGTCTTTAAATAACAAGCGTGTTCTTGCCCATCACTGCTGTCAACAAAGAATCTCCGGAACACAGCATACGAACCACCTTTCAGCATAAGCTTGAAAAAAGAGAATTTCCGGCTCAATAACGCAAGCCTTCCCCAACAAAAAACAACAGCTGATTTTGAGGTGTAAGTTACAACCTTGAATACGAACTCCAGTGCAGTCTCTTAAACTGCGCGCAGAAAAAAAGCTTTTTATGACAATTACCGGAGCTGATGTATTAATTTGGCTGAATAATATATGATTACATGGTGTCCCAATCCACTCTCAAAGAATCTCTTTTTTTTTCCTTTTCTACTCTGTGCAGAATCTGCCTATGGTCCTCAGAATCTAAAAACATACCGACTGCTTCTTTTTAAACTATTCTCCCAGCAACATTTATTCCATCCGCCCATAAAGTTCATCCAGAAGTGCACGAATCAATTCGTCGAACAAGTAATATACATGTTTTATAATGCAAAGTTATGTTTTTTTTCAATTGTTTCCTTCAACCCATTCTTCCATGACAAGAAAATTACACCTTCCAAACGTTCTTTGTTGAAACAAACAGAAAAAACGAAAAAAAAATAAATTTGAGACTTGATGGTAAACAACTGACAGCTCTGCGGTGATATTTTACCTTCCGATGTCTCCCGAACTGCGCAAGACTGACGGGAATTTATTTACACATGTATTCTATTTCACGTTTTTTGTCTTTTCTGTTCCCACTCCAGAACTAAGCTCAGGTTACAGTAGATCTAAAAAAATAGACCTGCTATACTAATTAGCCCTACGCCCAAATGTAGGTATAACAAGGAAATTTACCTTTCAGCCGACCACTAATAGTTCGAGTGGGACCTCCTCACTCAACTTGTAATCCTCGGAAACACCAAAAGATCCGTTAGAAATGAACACCTGATCAAAGATGAAACTTTACATACACGAGACCCGGCTCCCTAATGCTGTCGTAAATACACTTCGCAATAGTACCTTTGGAGTACGAGCTACGTCTAGTCATCAGCATGCTTGATAAGCAGATTTACTACTTGAAAAACTTGTTTTAATCTAACAGGTGAATATAGAGCAAAACTAACAAGCTAGGAAAAAAAGAACAATACAGAAACCCGCCACATTAGAGCTGTAAAAAAAACCCATACTTATGAAACTGCTCAATCCCTCCCCTACTCACTTCCGACAAGCCCCCAACAGGGAACCTGAGGGAAAAAAGTGGCTACGGAGATAGCAAACCCCATTTTATGCCCTTCTTCTGCACCCTCAAGACACCTTCACCGCAAACTTTCAAATACAGCATACCCCTTTCTAGACGACATCAAGCCGTTTTTTGTTCTACCACGAGCATCCCCAACACTCAACAACCACTTGCAAAACCCTCCCCCCCCAGAACTACTACACGACACCAGACACCACAAAACGAACCTTCGCCCACTACACCCACCACAATGCAAAACAACACCGCCGGCTTTAAAAGAACACTGGATCCCTAATGGTCTCCAGCCCAGTTAAGATCAATGCCACTGAATTGGCAAATGTACAAGGCCATGGACCTACCGTCCCGCCCACCACCCAAACATGTTCACGGCTCAAACACCAACCACGCACCACATGACCTCATCCACACGCTACGCTGAGAAAAGTGGACGATCAGGCGGGCATACTCTCTGCCACCTTAGCTGAGAAACCTACATTGACAAAACCGGGCACGTGCCACTGACTGCATCCTCAATTTGACTCCAATTGCATCATAAATTTCTAACAAGGCAGAATAAATTTTACTGCACACTGAAAAACAATAAGCATCAACACAACCCTTGGACAACCCACCATGTTATTACCTTCCCATCGACATTGATCACATCACTAAGCATTCACAGAGCCACCACTACCGCCCATCAACCCAGCGTACAAAAACTGCGGTTAAATGCACCTTTTATCAACTGTGCCGAAAATCCAAAGCGCTAGAAGTGGCACGTATACTCATTCAGCGACCATAATTCGCAACGCAATTCAGAAAAACAACCCAAGACGTAAAAAACAGTTGTGAGTACCCCCTACCTCAAATAGAGAAAATTCTCCTTCCAGAATTGACCGTTCACAGGACATAAACTAAACCACAACTGCAGCGGAAGGCAGCCCTTCAAAAGCATAAAAAGCAGTCCGGGTCTAATCAAATTACCGCCTAAGGTAGGAATCTGAGGACACAGGCCTCTTGAACCAGTGATAATCTCAAGAAAAGCCACCTTTAATCCTCCCATCAATCCAAACTTAAAATCTTCCGGTTTTCCAAATTGAAAATTAATGTCTTTTCCTCATCAAAACCCGCACAAAAAAATACCGGAACTAGAAAAAACTAGAAATCTTGAAAGTATAACTTTAACAATGACAGAAAAAAGCCGCCAGTTCACAAACGGATAAGAAACAAAGATAATCGCATTTAGTACAAAACGGTAATTATGAAATATCAATTCTTTTTCCTCCACTTCCGGTCTTCATCTGCAGCACTCGTCTGTATACTCCGCCGAGATGTCTGCCCACGGCCTGCAAAGTTCAACAATTCAATTGACATTTAAAGCTAGAACAGTTTTTTCCCAAAAACAACTGGTTTTTTTCAAAAACTATGGAGAACAAATTAGCACCATCTACATTCCGGCCACGAACAGTCGTCCACTTTGCATCACCATCTACATCTGTTGTAGCCTGTTGTGGTTGACTGGAAACTTCAGATGGCTGCGTGCGTGGCGAACGGTCTCCGGCAGAAAGTCCCATAGCAGCTCTTGCTCGGAACGGAGGGACATACTTAGAAGATTTAGCAGCTAAAATAAACTGCATTTAAGAACGCTAACTAATTTTTTTTTGAAAAAGAGAGAAAAATTTACCAACTTTTGCAAAGCAATTTCTTGAAAATACCAGCGCCTAAATCGTTGGTTTTTATAAGACATTATTACTACGAAAAATAAAACCAAACATTCGTCACTAACCTGCTTGCGGCGCCTCAACAACATTGCCAGCTGCCCGCCGCCAGTTATCAGAATCAGCTCCGGATGACGAAACACGTCCAGCAGACGGCCGATTTTCAGATGACTGTCCTAATCGATCACCGCCAAAACGCTGTAATTTTAAGATTTAGGAGATGACACTGTTAATCTACCTGGAACTCTTGACAAGTCCACAGCGGTTAGTACCTGAGATGCATCTTTATGGACGGTTACCACTTCACCTAACCTCCAAGAACTAGTGGTGTCTGCTTCCGACACGTAAGAACCACGTTGGGTTGGAGTCCCAGATCGTTCTCTATCTACTGCACGAGGAAGAGCAGTGACTACGTTGCCATGAACCCAAGGGCCGCTATCAGCTTCAGAAGGAGGCTTAAAACGAGAGGTAGCAGTAAAAAATGACATACCATACTCTGCAGAAACAAGTTTTTCCAAGAGGTAAATGCGTTACTCAAGAAATCTGTGGATACCTGAGGACGATCCTTTGAGCGCTCGCTTCCATCACCTTGCCCTTTGTTTATTTTACCTGGTGTTCGCACAGGCATTACGGGTTGAGGCCTAGGGCCTTGCCTCCAATCTGTATCCATATCAGACTTGCTCTCCACAACCTCTCGTTTAACAGCTTCCTTCGCAGCGCGACGTTCCCGTTCTTTCTCCTCTCTACGAGCTTGCTCTTCTGCTTCTTTGGCTCTGATACGTTCGCGTTCCTGCTCCTAAAATGCGTGTGCTAGTTCTCCATAAACTCAGTCCTGCTCTTAAAATAAAAAGATCATCGGTCAAAGAGACTTTCATAATTGAGAAATGGGAATTACCGCCTGCCATTCTTGACGCCTCTTTTCTTTTCTTTGTTCATGTCTCTTTGCAAGACGTTTTTTCTTCTCTTCATCCAACTTCTGCTGCCAAGCTTCCATCTTTTTCTCAAAATCTTCTCTATGAGCTTCTAAAACGGTCTCCAAAAACTCCTTAGCATCCTTGCGGACTTTCTGCATCCTGTTGTATGTAGCTACGGCGCGCTCATGTTCCTCACTTAAAACGATATAATTAAATGTAACTTATGAACTGTAATCACATCCTTCACACAATAAATTTTCATAATGACTGTGTGTCCATCCAGACAACCATCTACCCATAAGAATAAACGGCAACCTATCAAGACATTACTAATTTTCCCTAATTTAACGACACGGGAAGAAAAATATCTTCCAGAGTTGTCAACATAGGGTTTTAAAAGTGCAGCAGTAAAAGAATCATTCATTTTAAATTAACCAACATTGCAGCTTGAACGCGGTTCCTTTCATGCTCTTCATGACGAGTCGGTGCCATTTTTTGAAACTCTGCCGACATTTCCGCTCGAACTTTGATCTCTTCTAGATGGAATGCACGAACCATGTGATCAAACTTCTTTTCCTGCTGCTGTAGGCGAGCTTGTAATTCGCGCCTTTGTTCATCCAGTCTGTCTCTTTGTTCCCTCAAAACTACATCAAAAACCTACAGTCGCAGCTTATGCAACTAGAAATTAACATAGACTTTATATAACCAAGAAAGTTTTACCCGACTCTGGATCCATATTTTGGAAAGCTTCTTCACCATGGTCTTTTACTATGGCCTGATAAATTGGTGTTGCTTGGATTTTCTTCATCTTCTCTGCACGCACTTTTCTGTCCATTTCCTCCTAAAATTTTTATCTACTTCAATTTTGAAGGATGTACACAAAAAAAGAAGATGTAGATAGTAATCAACGCGTGCAAAAAGAAAAATAACAAACAGAAGGGTGAATTTGTATATATGGACCAAGAATCTTTACCCGCACTTTCCTCTACCCCAAAACATACAATACTTTTCTAAATTCTGGAACTCTGCTGTTTTCTCCTTGCTCCATCTGCTGTCACTAATACTAATGCAAACTTTTTAGTTTGTAAACAGATCTTGGAAGATTTAAAGAAACCTGCTCAGCAATCTTCCGTAATCTTTCTTTTTCTGCATTTTCCATTTCTAGTCGTCGCATTTCTTCCGCTCTTTTTTGTTCCTCACGCATCATTGCTTCTAACTGAGCCTTCTGCGATTTCTCCAATCTCATGCGCTCACTGGTTTCTTTATAATTTTCTATCTTTTTCCTTCTCAACAGTATTCGTTCGTAGTCTCTATCTTTGTGGTAAT